TCAGCCAGAGCATGTCCAGCAGGATCAAGTTGGCATAGTCTCAGCCCAAAGAGCGGAATTAACACCTGAAGATCCAGTATGGAGTCACAAGCTCCAACTCAAATTAGCAAAGGTGCATAAAGGAAAATTTGGGTCCATATCAGCCAAGCCATTCCTGTCCCAATTATGTCACAGACAGGCATTTTAAAAAATCATGTCTGCTTAAAATTTTGGCAGATACTAGTATGAGAAATGCAGTTAACCTGTCCACTTGGTTACTCACTGCTTAACTGTCCCCAGTTACACCCAGGGACTGTGCAGGAGTTCTGTGCAGGAGTTCTCACATGTTCTCACATGTCTCACATGTCATTGCAGTGTGATCCCTTCCTGACAACTAATATTACTACACAACCCCCAGAGGGTGGACTAAAGCCAGAGCCCACTTAAGCTCTGCTGCCCTGGGCAAGGGGTAGAGAAAAGCCAAAGCCCAATACCCCTGGGTGGGGAATAGAGGGGTCTGAAGTGTAAGCCTTGCTGTCTTGGGCTAAAGGTAAATATGGTGGTGGTGGCCCTCTAGGGGCTAATCCTGAAGAACTGGATCCAGACTGGGCTAATATTTGCCCATCCTTAATTTAGAGGGATAATTGGTCACAGTCTTACTACAGGGGATCCTGACCTACAGTTTAAGAATTGCTGGGTTAGAATGGTTCAAAGGAGAAAGGGGGGGGAGGAAGAAGTATGTTGGGGTAGTCACAACTGTGTCCCTTCCCTTGTGTCTCTTCCCAGCAGTTGCCTCTGTCCTTGCATATTTAAAATCTTGTACAATGCTTAGAAATTTTGGTGATAGGCACTTAAACACAAATCAATACCTGTGGGCCAGATAGAGAAAGAAAAATGATATGGCAATTCAGTAGAATAGCCATAGTCATACCAAAGAACAGAACCCAAAGAAAAGAAAAACACAGTTTGTGCCATTGATGTTCTGAAGAATACAATAATTTAAAAAGGAGTCTGGAATTGGTCCAAGTAGTGGTTAAAAGGAGCCTCATGCAACAAGTGTTCCTTCAATAAAAGTGTTTCTATTTTTTTTTAAATTAAATAAACTGCAACTCAAAATGCTACCACAAGGAGAACTGATTGTTGAAAATTCTTTAGGAATTCTTAGTGCTTTTCCTTTCAAAACCAATATAATGAAAAAATAAACAAAAATGCTTACTTGTTTATTTATATTATTATTTAAGGGAGATAGATTGTATAAAAAAGTCTGGCACAAGGAAAACCCATGTGTTGCTATCCACAAAGGGATCTCTTCTAACCTAAGGAGGTGGTAAATAAAAACAGAGGAAGTAGGCCTAAAAACAGTCAAGATGGCCAAAATAAAAGAAAAAACAACGAATAGTCTGATAGCACTGTATATACTAACAAAACATGTAGATGGGATCATGAGCTTTCGTGGGCACAGCCCACTTCTTCAGATGACCGGTCATCTGAAGAAGTGGGCTGTGCCCACGAAAGCTCATGATCCCATCTACATGTTTTGTTAGTATATACAGTGCTACCAGACTATTTGTTGTTTTTTCAGTTTACCTGTACAGACTAAATCAGCTACCCCCTGAAACTTCCAAAATAAAATAATTAGTCTTGTAGTGTGCTCTTATGGGGTACAGGAGTGGCCTGAGGCTGGCTGCGGCAGCTGGCGCTCCAGGCAGAACGCGCAATGGGTGCCCTGGCCTGCAGGGCCGTCAATGGCGTGACATCATTATCGGGTGACCCGTTGAAGGTGGCGCTCTAGGCGACAACCGCCGAGTTCGCCTATACTCACGGGCCACCCCGATGGGGTATATACAACTCACACTAAGAAAGAGCTAACAAGCAGTTTTGGCCTAAGTGGCACCACCTCACTACATATGCAACTGGAGGAAGAGTCTGAAAGAAAGTCATCAGCTCAAACAGACAGGGAAATGGCATTCAGGCTAGGGGGTACAGTGAACCCTCGTTTATCGCGGTAGATAGGTTCCAAACCCGACCGCGATAGCTGAAAATCCGCGAAGTAGGATCCTCAAAGCCTCGGGGGAAGCCGGCGGGCTGCTCCCCCGCCGGAGCCGCTCCGCGGCTTTCAAAGCCTCGGAGGGGCTCCGGCGGGGGAGCAGCCCGCCGGCTTCCCCCGAGGCTTTGAAAGCCGCGGAGCGGCTCCGGCGGGGGAGCAGCCCGCCGGCTTCCCCCGAGGCTTTGAAAGCCGCGGAGCGGCTCCGGCGGGGGAGCAGCCCGCCGGCTTCCCCCGAGGCTTTGAAAGCCGCGGAGCGGCTCCGGCGGGGGAGCAGCCCGCCGGCTTCCCCCGAGGCTTTGAAAGCCGCGGAGCGGCTCCGGCGGGGGAGCAGCCCGCCGGCTTCCCCCGAGGCTTTGAAAGCCGCGGAGCGGCTCCGGCGGGGGAGCAGCCCGCCGGCTTCCCCCGAGGCTTTGAAAGCCGCGGAGCGGCTCCGGCGGGGGAGCAGCCCGCCGGCTTCCCCCGAGGCTTTGAAAGCCGCGGAGCGGCTCCGGCGGGGGAGCAGCCCGCCGGCTTCCCCCGAGGCTTTGAAAGCCGCGGAGCGGCTCCGGCGGGGGAGCAGCCCGCCGGCTTCCCCCGAGGCTTTGAAAGCCGCGGAGCGGCTCCGGCGGGGGAGCAGCCCGCCGGCTTCCCCCGAGGCTTTGAGGATCCTACTTCGCGGATTTTCAGCTATCGCGGTCGGGTTTGGAACCTATCTACCGCGATAAACGAGGGTTCACTGTAGATCTGTCTAAGGCCACATCTCTACTTGCAGAAAGATCTTATTATATTTATTAATGAAGATTTCCTATCTCCTAGAACTGGAAGGGACCTCGAAAAGTCATCAAGTCCAGTCCCCTGCCTTCACAGCAGGACCAAGTACCACCCCTGACAAATTTTTGCCCCAAATCCCTAAATGGCTTCCACAAGGATTGAACTCACAACCCTGGGTTTATCCGGCCAATGCTCAAACCACTGAGCTATCCCTCCTCCTATGCAGCAGTAGTCAATCTTCCAGCATTCGATTTAGCGGGTCTAGTAAACACCTGCTAAATCAAATGTTGAGGGTGCACCGGGTACTCGTACTCCTCTCAAGAAGTAAGGAAAGTCAACAGGAGCCTTTCTCCCATCAACCTCCCACTGTGAAGACGAAGCCAAAGCACATCTTACTGTAAATTGACTCCAGCTACATTTTTTAAAGAGCTGGAATTGTACCATAAGCCAACCCTCCCCCATACTGTGGACCTGGCCTGAGAGCCTAAGTGTACAGTGGGAATCTTACTCCTGAGAAGTGGATGATTTGGAAGGGGCAGCTACTCCTGGCCCCCAGAGAAGGGATTAGCTTGTCCTTTAGAGTTAAGGAATCCACTCTGTCTTTATTTGGATCAGAACAAAAGAATAGCCATTCTGTGCGAGACTAATTGGTCTAGCTAGCCCTGTAACCTTCCATGCCAAGTGCTTCAAAGGGAATGAACAAAACAGGGCAATTATCAAGTAATCCATCCACTGTCAACTAAGTCCAGTGTCTGACATTCAGAGGCTTTGAGACACCCAGAACATTCAGGTTTGCATCCCTGCCCATCTTTGCTAATAGCTATTAATCCTGGTTCTTAAGTTATCTGAAATGGTAAATTACACTTCCTTATTAATTTTCTCAACACTATTCATGACTTTATAGACTTCTGTCGTATCCTCCTTTAGCCATCTCCAATCACCAATGCTGCTCTTTATAATCTTTCCTCATTTGGAAGCTCTTTCATACTTTAATTATTGATCTTGTCTTTTGCTGTACCTTTTGTATTTCTAATAATCATTTTTTTTGAGAGAGAGAGGTGACCATGCTCTGCACTGGAATCATTAGAGGTAGGGAGTAACCAGGAAGGGACTTCTGGAGCATTTCTAGATACTTGATATTGCTACCACTTGGTGCTCTGGTCTGCAATCCTGCAGGGAGGGTGGGCTTAGGCTCGCTCTCAGCCACTTGTGAGATCTGCCTCTGATTATCCTCTGGAGATAATCAGAGAAGACATTGGAAACACTGAAAGAAGACCTCTGGGACTACAGAATTGAGTCAACAGCCTTTCCCCCTCCCCATGGAGATGTTAGACTTGAAAATAATAGGAAACAAATTCATAAGGACCAGAATTTATGACCAGAGGTGAGAGTAAGGTACAAGTTGAGAGTTTTTTTGTGTAGGTTGTTATGCTGAACATTATTATACTAAGTCAACAACCCTAAAATGGACAGCTTGGTGTACTACTGAATTATTATATAACCCTGAGTCTATGTCTACACTGCACTGCTCTTCCAGAAAAAACTACGCAAATGGTGAACCGCAATTTGCATAGCTTTTTCTGTTTCTTTTTTCGGAATAGGCTTTTCTGACATTTGGCCGATCTACCTTGGGCCAAAAGTTGGAGAAAATTCCTTTTTTGGAACATCCCTTCTTCCTTGTAAAACGAGGCTTACAGGGATGCCAAAAAAGCATGTCTGCTCTTTCAAAGACGCATTCCCTGGACATGGCAGTGTAGTGTACACATAGCCTGAGGTCTGGCATAATCGGCTCCCTTACTCCCATCCTAAGGTTACATGTATACATTTATCTTTTAGCCATGTTATTAAGTTAATGGTTTAAAATACCTATTTGTTTAAGCTACTTCAGCGAGGCTCATCAATCAAAGACCAGTTCAGCAAGGGCTACATTAAACACTTTCAGAAAACGAAAGGTTGTATTCTGTGGTTGTATTGAACCCAACACTATTTGTAAAAAAAACAGAAAAAAGTGATTGCTATTACTAAGAAAAGATGAGTTATTATCTCATGTATAGTAATCTTATTTGTGAAGCCATATATGAGGGATAATAGTCATATGCACTGTGTTTGTTATAAGATTTTTATGTTCAATTTCTTTTTAAAATTAAGATTTTTGGAAAAAGAACAACTCAAGATAATGTTGAAATCCAGTATGTTCTGTGCTTATCAAGAAAACCTTCCAAAATATGGATAGTTATAAAGATTTACTAAGTCATATTCTTTTTTTCTTTATACAGTAGAAAGTTCTTGAAGAAAAGCTGCATATAGTTTTGTTCCCTCAATGTAAATGTACCTAAAAGAAAACAGAGCAAACAGTATACTTTCAGTGTACATAACATAGGAGCTCTTCAGACATACAAACATTGTTTCACATGGAAATAAATGATAATAAATACATATTATCAGTAAAGACAATCTTCTAAAGCTTATCAGGGAGTGTGTGACAGGTGATGGAAAAATCTTAATTAAGATTTAATGCTTATCTAAAAGACATGCTGAACTTCAACAATGCTATTAGGCAAGTTACTAAGTGAAATCCTATGGCCTCTGTTATACAAGAGGTCAGTCAAGATAATCACTATGGTGATCTCTTCTGACCTTAAAAATCTATGAATCCTCATGAACATGTAATAACTCAGGTAGTCAGATAAATATATTGACTGCTTTGTCTTCAGTTTTGTTTGCTATTTAAGCCTGAATCATTCACTATCAGTTCAGGCAACATAACTAAGGAGAACAAGAGAAAAAAATTCTAAAGTGCCTAAATGACCTCAGGAGCCATGACCCACTTTTTAAAAGGTATAAAGACTCTTGCTCTGCTTAGAGTTGCAAGGCCAACATGATTTTGATATCTAAGTCCCATTTTCACAATTGACTTGGCAGTATAAGTCTCCTTGAATGTCACTTTGGAAAATATGGAATTAGGCTCCTAAATCATATAGGGCCAGATGCTTAAAGGTATTTGGGCATCTTAAGACTCCTGTCTACCAAGTACCTTTTACAAATTTTACCCTAAACACTTGATCCAAAGCCCTCTGAAGTCAAAAGACACCTATTGACTTCAGTTGGCTTTGGCTCATGCCTTACAGACCTAATCCTATGAAAACTTATATAATTGGTACTACTCACTTGAAAACAATTATTCAAGTAATGTGTTTTCAGAGCTAAGCTCTAAATTATACCCTTGGTTACAGTCATGGAACTCCTAGTGATGTCAATGGGACACACACATACACGTACACGGGTGCACACACACATGCTAACTAATTTGAGGAAAGACTGTGTCCCTATGTTTTACCTCAGTCTTTTGAACAGAAGCTATAGACTGTGGTCAAATTCCAAATTAGAAAGATTTTAATGCACAATTAATAAGCACTTATTTTTATGTAATTATTGTTCAGCATCAAGAATAAAACTTTCAATAGATTACTTGGAGGTAGATTTTTATTTAATTAAAATATATTCCTCCTTTTTAGTTTTAAATTATTCAGTATGTTTACCTCCCAGCTGCTTTCAGTAGCTAGTATGAAATACAAATATTAATTATAGTTTCACAAAAACAAAATATTCCCTCATGCTTCTTTTATGAAACTGCTCCTCTTTAGTTAATTCAAGAAATCATGCATAACCAAATGTACTGATAATGTGATAAAAACTGTGCCAACTCCAATTAATTTCACTACTGCCAGTATTTAGAATAGCAATACAAGGGCTGAAATGAGTAATGTTGAAAAGTAGGAAAGAAAGCATCCACATTTCACACACATTTTAACCAACTTGATTACTTAAAGTAACTCTTCAACTTGGATGTTTTCAAATGATTAGTTCCTAAAAATCTAACTATGCTGTTGTGCTTTATTTGAATGCAACATTTTCGGAAGGAAAAAAATGGTACTTGAGATGAGGAGCCTGCATTTACACCATTTTTTCAAAATTACGTTTGGGAGTTCTAAAAGTACATTTGAAAAAGTAATGCAAATTCATAGCATATTTTTTTATTTGTCACAGTATTTATATTTTTTCTTCTGAAACAATATTAACACTTAACACTCCAAGTTTCTTCTAAATTACCGTATTTATGATTTTTAAGAAAATCAGCACTAAAAAAAATACCTGCTGATCTTTTCATCTTGCCCATGTGGAGCATCATCAGGTCCTCCTATTCCTAATAACATTATACTTTTTCCAGTCAGCTCCTGAAAATCTGTGGCAATTGGAATTGTCCCACCTGAACGGATCATGTCAGCCTCTTTTCCAAACACTAGGGAGTGAAGACAACAACATAAGCGTCATAAAAATTAATTAATGCAGTATCCTTCCTGCTTTTATATAACTAAAGACATTATTCTGATATAAATTTATTTACGTCATTTTCTGTTGGAGGGACTAAAGGGGACTTAAGTATATTTCCATTTTCCTCTAAAAAAGTGATGCTCTGGTTGCGTTAACCTTGGATTCAAAATATTAGAATCACCCACACTCATACTAGGGTGATTTGCTTGTGTGCTGTATCTAGTACCTAACTTAAAGTTCTGTCTGTTACAAATGACTTTACAATGGAATTTTGCATCCACTTGGAGTTCTGAAACTAATGTTATTCTATATGGGCACAGGGGGTCTTCCTGTTAACCATATTCATGTGAAACCAAGTTACAGCAGAAGATGAAAAGTGGTAAAAGGCATGAATGACACATCTATGTGTGCTACATGTGATGATCAACATAGAACAATGGTCACCAACCAGTAGATTGGAATCTACTGGTAAAACTTGGAGCCTCTGACAGGTGATCCTGAGTGTTTTGGTCAAGAGGCTATCAAGCACAGCACTTCAGCTGCTGCTCTTTCCC